TGGCTGGGCTATTGAGAGGCTCTTCATTGAGTGTTTGTGGGTGGACCACTGTCGCCCCTCTCTCTTTTGGAGATATTAGGGCTGTGTCAGTGGTGCGGCAGCCATAGCTGCCTGTTTTCCTCGTCAGAGTTGTTCATCAGCACTGAAGACTTCATCCCAGAACCTGTTCTTCATCTGGGTGGTTGGGGCTGGCCTCTGGGAGGCCATGTAAGTGTTGCGCTACTAACTGGGTGTAGGGTAGAGAATGGAGTGTGGAGTTCTGAGGGTGGCGAGATACTGAAACAAACTCTGTAACGATGATTGGTTCGAGTTGGCTCATCATCAGTGTAAATCCTATCTTGTGATTGGTTGTTGGGAGTATTGTCAGAGAGTGAGAAATACCGTGTGTCTCTCCCCATCTGTGCATGACCTGTGTGCAGTTTGGACTCTGTCTCCTCTCCTCTTCGGCTTATGCATGTATGGGCGTGTATGAGATTGTCTGTGTGTGAGTAGTGGTGAAAGTCGTCAAACAACCAAGTTCATAACAGTTGGTATCGGAGCTGGGTAGGATTAGGAACACTGAGGGTTGAGCGCAATAGGGGCATCTTCTTCTTCTGAAGATCTTCTGAAGGGAGTTCCATGGTGGTTCATCTTCTTCAGGGCTGAAGCAGTGGAGAAGAAGATTTGCAAACGGCGAATTCAAGTGTACAGTGTCTGGATTGACCAAGTGCACTGTCCCTGCCAGAGCGCTTGTCAGAAGTGGTGAGTACAGGGCTACTTCGCCAAAGTCAACCCTTAGTGAAGATGAGCGATTTGCCTCAGAGTGGCGAATTACCCCTGAACAATGAGGATAACTGAGTGGCGATATCATCCCTAAGGAGCGCTGAGCTAGATTGACTGCTAGAGTCAATCTCATGCAGAGTTGACTCCAACTGGGGCTAATTATAGCATCAGTGGCTAACTGGGTCAGTGGCAAGAAATCTCTAGTTGACTATTAGATCGCCACTGGACTAGATTCAATTGAGTCTAGTAAGTGGGATTGAAACGCCTCAGTATCCTGAGCAGATCAACAAGCTTGAGGAGGTTTTGTACGTGGAGATCAGAGGAGGAATCTCTGGAAGCAATTGACGAGATGAGGGTTTCAGTCTGCTATAGCCAGATCTTCATCATCTTCTGAAGACTACACTGAAAGTGAGTACGTTCCACACAGATCTCTGTATAGCGAAGTATGAATTGTCGGTATAATCAGAATTGATGGTCTATCTGTCGACCAGAGTCCAAATTTAGTTTTATCAGACTGCATGACAACCATAGCCATCTTCTCCCTATCTTCACTTTCTGATATCTCCTCCTCTGCTGACTCTTTTAGTCTCAAATCTGTTATGGGAGTGCATGACAGTATTGCGCTGAATCCTGTATGCTCAGAATATGAATTCTGTACTCGAAAGGTACTGATACTCTGGATTGTAATTTTGCGCTGAGTCTATTTATAGCCTAGGCTATCTAGGGTTAGTCGCAACTACAATTCTGCCCGTCAGAATTCAATTCTGTCAGTCTGTAGTGAATCGCAATTCTGTTGTTGTCATCTGTACAAAACCGCTTGACCAGATAATCAGTATTTGGGTAATTACAGTGGATATTGTAAATCGCCATACCTCTGGGTATGGCCGTCAGAGTCAACAGTGGCAAAAATTGAGTCTGTGGTAGGATTGAAGGTTACTGACTACATCGTTACATCTTGTTGGTTTGGGATTGTCTGTACTTACCACTCTTTCTCTTTCCCACTGTATTCTCTTGTTTTCTAGTGGGCTTTGGAATTCTAGGATATCTCTTGAATCACTGGAATTGTTTGTACTAACTCCAATTGAGGTGCAGGGTCAGTAAAAGGAAATCGTGTGACTGATTTTGCTGGACTGTATGTCTATCTGACCGCTGACCTCCAGAGACAGTTCCAACCCCAATCGTCTGTTGCCCATTCACCCACCTACCTCTGTGAGAGGGATAGCGGCGATTTCTGAGGGTCTGAAGGAAATTGGATATCGCTGCACGCTCCCCTGTTTGTTTACTAACTATTGTTAATCTGAGAGTGGAAAATGGCGAATCAGGGTGCTCAGCAGCAGCCCCAGGGAGAAGTAGAAGTGAAGATAGAAGTCCCACAAACTTCTGCCTCCCCCTCTACTACACCCCTGACTACTACTCAGCAAAAGGAGTTACAGGAAAGACTGCAGCAGGAGCAGGCGCTGCTTGCAGAAATTGAGAGACAGGAGGCAGCCGAGCTGGAAGCTGCAACAGATGCCTCACGCAGTGAGTATCTGTTGGAACAGCTGAACAAAACGATATCAGATGAGCGCTGCACCCATGTGACTAGGAACTTGGCGGAGTGGGCCGTTCTAGAACACAAAGCCACCAGTTCCTATTTCACCAACTAGGATGATCGCATGGGCCATCTGGAGCGCAGAGTTGATGACCTGGCGGCTCAGCAGTCAAAGCTACTGGATGCGGTTCAGGGTGTGGCTGCTCATCTGACAGCAGCCAAGCTGATTGTTCCTCAGTCCCCTGCACTCAAAGTGAAACCTTCTCCTTCTCCTTCCCCATCTCCCTCTGGTTTACACCATTCTTCCCCTTCACCACCTTCCTCCCACAAAGCCATAGGCCGCCCAATGCTTGAATTTGTCCCTGCAGGTGATCAAAGGGGACCTAAGATCCCAGCCCCCAACAAGTTCAAAGGGGATGACCTGAAGGTCGATGTTGGGGACTGGGCTGCAGGTACCAAAGCCTACTTGAGAGGCTTCACATGTGCAGAGCAGACCAAGGTTGCAACGGTGTTGGGACTGCTGGAGGGAGCCGCTCTGAAGTGGGCCACCTCAACCTCCAGCAGTCTGGAGCAACGTCTGGAGGACTGGGCTTTTGGGCTGGAGGTCGACAGACTTCTGCAGGCCCTAGAGGACCGCTTTGCAGACAAGGAGCGGGCCCGCAAAGCTGCTGACAGGATTGCTCGCCTGGGGCAGCAGCGTTACAACGGGACATTGCAGTCCTTGTTTGCAGAGTTCGAGTAGTTGACCTCTACCCCTGGGTTGGTCATTTCAACAGATGATCTATTGACCAACTTTTGCAGGGCTGCGCCTGAGAAGTTTGTTGTTGCTTTGTACAGTGCTGGGCACAAGGATTGGAGATCCTTTGGCCGTGCAGCCCTGGACATGGAGGCAAAACTTCATGTTCAGGCCCCTTCTTCTGACAGAAGAAAAGGAGCCTTCCCTCGTGGTGGCAGAAAGGGAAAGGTTGCCTTCACTCATGTAGGATATGGATCAGTCAGTGATTCAGACTCCGAGGTTGATGTACCATCAGCTGGGACTGAGTCAGCTGCTGATACAGATGTTGCAGCGGCCCTGACTCAGGCTGTTTTGGGAGTTCTGCAGCAGCAGAAACAGTTTCCTCCCGCCACAACCTCAACCAGTTCAAAGGGGAAGGACAAGGGGCGTCATCCTTCCACCTTTACTCAGCGCCCTAACCTGCCAAAGGATGTTCGTATGCCAGCTGACCCACTCAATCCCTCCACTCTCCCCTGGCAAGGATCGAGGGGTCTGCCTGCGATGTGAGGGTCAACACTTCTTAAAAGACTGCCCTTACATGCCAGGCCCGGGTTATCAAAAAACTGAAGCAGACCCTGGGGACTGCAGTTCCCTCCAGTGCTGCACCTTCATACTCAGAGGAAGATGAATCTGCAGCTGCTTTAGTTGAGACACCGCAAAGTGTGGGAGCTGCGCGGGCAGCATCCTTTTGTTATGAGGATCCCGACCCGAATCAGGAACCGGAGGAGCATGAGCTGCAGACAGTTGTTGTCTTTTTCTTTCATTTGAAAGAACAA